CTACGACACGGGACCCACGGCTTAAAGTCCCTCCCAGAGGACTTGTTCCCTGAATTTTTCTGCCCTTAAAAATTCCACGACCTCCGCCGGGTTTGAACCTGTGTACCACGAGTCATGAGGTGGGAACGTTACCTCTAGACTACGGAGGCCGCTATAAGTGTCAATAAGTCATGACAAGACTTTAAACTAAACTAAAACTAGCTTTATGTAAATGTTGGTATGGGAATTTCCTCATACCAGATGTACTGGTTATACTGACACAACACAGTTGTCACAGTTTTGTTTCTGTAAATGGGTTGTGCCACAAAGTACAGTAGACGGGGATTTCTGGGAAATATGATTAACCTTGCAGAGTCATATTTTGGTTTAAATTAAATGCATCATCTCAGTATAATACTTACATGTGTGATTTTTTGTATCATAATTAAGCAAAAATAACAATGAAGTATGGGTTATTTAGAATAAATAGAAAAGATCTGAGTACTGAGTAATGAATAAGGACAACTGTAATGTGCTGGTAGGTAGTACCTATATCGACTCCTCTTGTTTGTCCTTCCCTGGACTTGACTGAAAGGTGCAGCAAGTCCTCTAGCCATAGTAGGTAATTAAGGCGTAACGGCAGAGCTGGTACCAGATGGTTTAACGGTATTTCTACCCGTAGTCCAAAATCCTTATGAAGCAAAGTTGTGGTTAGGGCTCGGAGTGCTTCTTGATTCTTGAAGTCAATGGTCACCTTACCTGTAATGTCCTAAAAGAAAGAGCATATGCTTAAAATACGATGGCCAGTTGCTTCAATTAAGTTAGAATGGTCTGTACTGAGGCTAGTAACATATACAGCCTAATTCTGATGACAGGTTAGGGGGGCTGGGTAGGTTAGAACATTACATATACCATGTGAAAGCCTAACCCTCGAATTAGGGACAAACATACAAATCACAGTCGTATGTCTGATGCAAAAATTATTTATTAATAAGCTGTCAACGTACTGTAGATATTCTATGTTGGATCAAATTACCTGCTTTGCAAACTTTCGAAATTCTGGATAAGAAGTGGCTAATTCTTTGAAGTTCGGTCGAGTCTTGTAAATATTTCGAGGATGCATATATTTATTCTGTGACATTCTGCATTCAACTAGTAATACGAGATCTTATACCTTGGACAAACATTTTACTCGCGTCTCTTTACGAAAATTACACATGTAAACAACACAACGGTCGACCTTCCTTTTCCGCTGTTACAAAGTCTCTCGATGTGCGAGATCGCGCGAGATACTCCTGCAGTTTGCGCAAACATTGGTGGAGGAAGGTTGGTGTAGTTGCTGTAGTGATTTTTGCTTGTTAGATTTGTGAGTGAGAACAGTGTAGTGCATTGCAGTACCTTTACTACTTTGTTACTTTTGGTAAGTTGCTAACAGCTGTGTGTGGTTTATATGTATTGGTTTTCCAAATTACTACGTTCACCATGCCACCACATTAGTTAAACTTTAAATATATGAGCATAAGTAATGGAGATACCTTCAAAGTTCTTCATCAAAATGGCCGATTTGGAGACTACGGCTTTTTGAGTATGAAGCCCAATATTTATGATTTTTGTTTATTGTAGATTGATATTAGCTGCGAAGAGGATATAGTCTCCGATGACAAATTTATAGTGTGTGTGTACAAGTTCTCGCGATATTTTTTATGAGTGTACGTTATTTTTCTGCATCGATTTGAAAAGTGGGCGATACCATACAGTAATTCACAGCAAAGGAACAGGTACATTAAACACGGAAAAAAATTTTTCTAGTGTTAGTTGTTCAGCATCACATATATTTGACGACATGGAATTGTCTGCCCTTTCATTGTTCCTTGGTAGGTTAATATATGGTATGGGAACAAGATGTGGGGATTTCTGGGTGTTCTGTCATTGACGTCGGTACTGCCACAGCAATACATATTACAGTACGTATTGTAAGTTTCGTAAATTTTGCGATAGAAATGCTGAAATGTGCATCTTAAGCATTACACTTTCTGTTACACAAACCAGCTGTTAACAGTATTCCATGATCAAAATAGTAAAAGTTGAAATATATATTACATAGTAGCTGATGTTAGTCATGCAGGCTTTTAGTAATACGTCTAATTGTAGATGTGATACTGTGGAAAATGAAGTTCATTAGAAGAAATGAGAAAAATGTTTGTCATATAGCAGTTAGTAAATAGAACACTGGTAGAATTTGTATGTATACCTGTGATGAATTGTGTTTGTTGGCTGGAGTCTAAATCTCCCACTAATGAAGTAATGTCACAACATTCAATGATTCTTTCTTCTATCATATTTTAAGATGAAGTATTTTCCTGTTCATATATTTATCAATTTTGATATTGAGAACACTAATATTGATGGCAGTGTATATATTCTCTCTGTGCAAGTTTAATAGAGTGTTACGTGCTCAGTTTGTGGTGGTGGTGTACACTCGAAGCCTAATTCTAGTTACAGATTGTTATGGTCAGACATGGATTATTATAATTCAGAGAGTTTCGTTGCTGGTAGTTTTACGATTTTGTCATTATAGTAGACTGAAGAGACTACACTGAATATGGACTCCATGAAGAATCTTAAAGCCTTTTATTTATATGTTGTTATTACACAGCAGGGTGCAACAAAATATATTATCAAGGTCCTGCTGTTCTGTGCTTACTAGTATTGTAAGAAGTTCTTCGCCAATTAATTGTCTGATTTTCATCACCTCTCCAGTTTTTATCCAACTGTAATTTTCTTCAATTATTTTTTCAGCTTTCTTCTTTCCTGAGGGATGGGGGTCTTGTGTGTTGTAGAGCAGTGTTGGTATTTTAGACTGTATAGTATTGAATGGTGGAGTGATTGATGAGCATTGATTGGAAAGGAGTTCAAAATAAGTAGTACCTTGTTTTTGCCTGGGGGTATCTGAGAAATACCGTGAATAACCTCAGGAAGGATAGCCCGTGTGCTGACTGAGATTAGAATTGAGCATCTTCTGAGTACAAGTGCTGAGTGTTACTGCTGCAGCAATGACTTCGGTGTAAAGTCCATGTTGAGTGGGCCCATTGTTACTTTGACGTGACTGGAAGAAATGGCCTCCATATGTGGAGGACGGCTGAGAATATGTTGAATAAGTAGTTCTGGACAGTCAACAAGTGGTTGCCTTCCACCTTGGTGTTGGGCAGACTCCTAACAACTCACTGTGATGGCAGTTGGCATGTTACAAATGTTACACAAGGCCTGTGATGTTTATGGCTCTCTTGGAAAGACATTAGAAGCAAACAGTGGAAATGAAATTGTTTATTGAAAGCAGTAGCAAGACAGTTATCAAAGTGTAAGTTAGAAGTAGTGTACAGGAGATCAGGTGGGACACAACTGGTATTGAACCAGCATGTGATTATGCATCTTTCACTGGAAAAGAGAATGATAATTGTCATTTAGGGACATGCTTTTTCACACATATAGGAATAGTATCTGCAGTTACAAGGGGGCATGTGGTAGCGTAGTTGGAGGAATTATGCTACAAGCCGGAAGGTCCTGGGATCGAATCCTGATGAAGTGGATTTTGTCAATTTACCTAATTCTTCCAGCCGCACTATGGCCCCGGGGTCGACTCAGCCTCTAACAGAAATGAGTACCAGGAATCTTCCTTGGGATAAATGGTGGCCAGGGCATAAGGCTGACAACCTCACCGCCATCTGTGAGCCGATAATCTAGAAAATGTGGGTGCCTCAACATCTCACAACCCAATGGGCCTTCATGACCTGTTACAGGGATACCTTTACTTTTTATTTACTTTATCTGCAGTTACAAAGGTAAAGTCTGTTTGTAATAGGATGTCATACAAGATAACTAAGGAGTTATTAATGTCATTATTCTGATTTGCATGCCCTAGCTGAGGATAAAAGTGGTACAGAAGATGGCTTTCATTAGAAACTAGAGCATGAATTTGATCAGTTTTTTTTAAGTCCCACGTGCAATTTTGTTTTGAGATTTCAGTGCAAAGGAGGATTCTTCCAAGTTGACGATCAGAACAACAGTATACATGAAAATAATAATAATAATAATAATAATAATAGCATAATAAACTGTGCCACATCAGAAAATTTAATTGTTTGTTGTGTAATATTTCCACATCTTAACAATTATAAATATACCCCAGAAATTTGCTGATTGAAAGATGTGCATTCAGATTAATCATGTCTTGATAAGAGGGCAGCATCCATGTATGCTTAATGTGTGATGTTTAGGTGATGTGACTGTGATTGTAACCAGGGTCTGGTGGGTGCAGAAAGTGAGATTGTTACTGAGTAAATGAGCAAGATGAAAGTTTGGTATTGTGAGATTTGATCTCAGGAAGCTGAATGATACACAAGGTAAAGAACAGTATTAGTTTAAAATCCCAAACAGTCTTTCATCCATTGAAAACATGGGTGATAATCAGGGATCGGATTTTTATACCCTAATAATCCCTTAAATATGTATGTATTTATGCATGAAAAACTTCCAAAATATGCACATAAAAATTATACCAAATATTAAAATTGATTTTACGTTATTTTAAGACCAACAAATCAATATTGAAGTTCATTTTGTGTGATCACTGAATGATTCACTTGCAATAAAAAGATATACTTAAATACAAATCATGCAACAAAGCCAACATATTTCATTACAAATTTAAAAAACCAATGGTACTTACATTTAGCTCTCTGAACTTTCAACTTCTCTTCTGTTGCAGTTCATAATTACTAAATGTTTTAGGTTTTCCATAGTTAGTCGCCTCCTGTTGTCTCATAAGATGTCCTTACAGCGGGAAAAACTTCTTTCCACCTCACAGGAACTTAGGGGCGCATGTACAGAAGCCGCTATTTGCTCCACTGTTTGTGATTTTTTACTTGGCAGTTCAGCACGTTTATTGGCTAAAATTTCCTCAATTTCACAAATTTGTTCATATCCTGGATTTTTTGAAAGAATGCTGTGTACTTTTTCCTTTACTACTTCACCAACTCTTCCAGGAACCGAATTCAATTTGGAAACAGTGGTTTCAAACACACTTAATGACTGATACAAAGTAGTATTGCTATTGCTTGCCTCCAGTGAGGAAATGGCGGATGGAAGATGAGAGAAGTGAGCAGATATATAGGAAAGATTAGTTTCTAGTTCTGCGTTTTTTAGTACATGTTGGGCAATTTGAATTGATGCTGCACTTTTGGGATCAAATGTATTCACGACATTCCTAACTGTTTCTAAATGATCGGTATAATAACTCGCTGCACACAGCCACATGCCCCAGCGCATTAGAATTGGTTCTGGCAGAAGTGGAACGCTCAGTGCTACTGCTTTAAAGGCTTTTTTTCTGTATGGCGCTTTAACAAATACCTGCTTCACAGAAGACACCAACTTGTCAACAAGCGGAAAATTTGAACGAATTGTTTCTGCAACACGGTGCATCCCATGGGCAAGGCAAGTCAAATGTGTCATATTTGGTAATATAACTTTAAGAGCAGTACCGGCTTTCATCGTATAACTTGCGGCATCACTCACAAAGAGCACTACGCACTCATACTGATTGCCATTCGGCCATAGTAAATTCATGGAATTGATAACAAATTCGGAAACTGCGGAGCTATTTGTGGTTTCAAATTGCTCTACCGCAAGAAGATATGGGGTAGATTGTTCATTCTTATTAAGGGATCCAGCTATACAATTTGCAGTAAACCGTCCCTCACAATCTTGTGTTTCATAAATTGATACCTGCACAAAATTATCTTGAATCTTATCTCTAATGCTTTCTGTTGTGAGATCGTAACACTGCTTCACATAATTTTTGTGCACAGTAGATTCATCTGGCACTTTGCACTGTGTATACTTCTCTGTGAAGTTTCTCAGAGTAGGATTGGTTAGTTTCCATGGGGGAATATCTGCTGCTAAAAAGGCTTTGCATAAAAGGAAAAGTATAAAACTATTATTGAAAAATTCACTAAGCAATTTTTGAACAGGAGCACTTTTCGTGGGTTTAATTTAAATATTCTCTTTGTGTACATTAGTGTTCAAATGCTGAAGCACTTGAAAGCGTTTTTCACAACCAACTGTTTTCTCACACGCTCGGCAATAAAGAATTTCATTATCTGTACTTATCATCTCTCCTTCGAACTCCCGCTGATACAGCTGTAATTTAGTTTTCTGACTTACTTTCACTTTTGGCATGACTACAGAAAGCTAAAC